CCAGTTCTATAAAGTCGATAAAAAAGATGAATAATTTTTGCTATATAAAACACCCAGTCTTTACCAGTCCTCTAATTCATTTAAACCCACTATCGATCAGGCTATACAATGCTATTGTTAAACTTTGAAGAATTAGTCGAGAAGAAAAAAGGACTGGGGGTGACTGATAAAAAATCGGAATATTTTTGGTTTTTTTACCAGTCACCCCCAGTGCTTTTTTCTTCTCGACTAATTCTTCAAAGTTTAACAAGAGCATTGTATAGCCTGATCGATAGTGAGTTTAAATGACTTAGAGGACTGGGTATTTTATATAGCAAAAATTATTCATCTTTTTTATCGACTTTATAGAACCGGTGGATGTCTAACTAGGGTGGGCTGAGCCCATCCTTGGCGCCGCCACTAATTACAAGCTACAATTTGTCTAAAAACTAGAAACTCGTAAACTTCAAATTCGAAGCTCACTTAATTTGACTATTTTTCTTATATATATTACTTGATAAGGTAATAAAGACCAATTTTCGTTTCTACTAAAAATCATTTGTGAACAAATATCACCTAAACATATACTATCAGAAGCTTGTGAAATTAATTTTAAATGTTCAATATCAGTTAATTTTCTTTTCTCATTAGATGAATTTGTGACATGTGGTTGACATTGTAAATAATTTTCTTGAATTAATAATGGCATTAATTGATAATCATAAAAGAATATATCACTTTTATCTATTATTGATTTATTACGTAATTCAGATGAAAATGATAAACGACATAATTCAAATGGATTATTATTGACAGATTTTTCAATCATTTTTGCAGCTAATAAATTTGTTTTACCACCTTGAATAGACCAAAGATTTAATGAATGAATTGTTTGACGAATATCTTGATTACATGATTTTATAATTTCATCTAAAGTTTCAGGTTTTATATTTGAAACATTTTCTCGTTGAAGTATAGTTAACATTGCAGCATGAATTTGTTGAATCGTTGGACGATGAAAACGTAAATCATAACAATAATTAGCTAATGAACGAATTTTTTTATGTTGTCGATCATTACATATACATATAATTGGTATACGTGATCGTTTTATAAGTGATATTAATTCTTGTATACCACCACGATCTTCATTACCAGATACACCATCAACTTCATCCATAATTAAAACATATTTTGACATTGATTTATTTGTAAAATGTGCAACACTATATGT